CACCACTAAAAATGAAATGCAGGAGAAAATTTTAACAGACCCATAAAAAGAAGAAATTGATCAGGTCATTAAAAACTCCCAACACCAAAAAAAAAAAAAAAAGCCCAAGCCCAAATGGCTTCACTGCCAAGTCTACTGAATATTCAGAGGAGAACTGACAACAATTGGATACAAAATTTATCAAAGTAACATTATGCAATATTCTTACATTCATTTTCCAAAACATGCATAATACTGATGCTGAAACAGGCAAAGACATGACTGAAAACCAAAGGTATAGGCTAATTATCCCCCTTACTCACTCCCCCACACGTAAACTTCATGAACTGCTGAGACATTGAATGAAAAACACTAGCTCTTTATATTGGAAGGCACTCAAAATACAACTGCCTCTTTAAAGTAGACTCTACTTTTATGACTTCTATGGAAAAACAAGGTACAAATAACAAACTCAAGAGGAGTGGTGTCACATTCATTATCAAAAGACATTTCAAGATCTACCTTGAAATAAGGTGACCAGACGTCATGCTTTTGGCAGGACAGTCCCGATTTTGGGCGTTTTTAAAAAGTCCAGATTTTTGGAAAGAACGCATGACAAACTAGGGAACGGTCTATTTGGTCCATATAGACCAAATTTTAATCAAGAAGCCCCCACCTCGGTCAAAGGTGTCCCGCTTTAAATCTGGTCACCTTGAAGTTCAATGCTGACTATGAGAGGATAATGTCTGTGTGCCTGTAAGGAAGACCAGGTAATACATGTTTGATTCAACTGGACACTTCGGGCTCGGGATGGAGTCAAACCTGTCAATCAAGTGGTAGCTTGTTGACACCTCCTTTGGGGGTGTGGCCTTTTGTCTGAGAGTGAGGAACTCTGGAAAATGCTTCCCAGCCACTTCAGCTTCCTTCTCGATGGGACTTCACTAAGACTCTGTGTCTGTCTCCAAGGGCTGCCCCGCGTGGGCCTTCCTACCCTGAGAACTTTAGGCATTCTGCCATGTTTCCCCCAACCTTAGATCCACATGACTTTGCACTCACTGGCCTGTGATCTCCCAATTTCCCCCGGCACCTTTCAGGGTCAGTGACTTGAGTCTGAATAGGGTTCTGACTAGTATGGAACCTATAGATTTGAGTTGGACTGAAGTCCAGCATCTTGTTGTAAAATTTCCTCTTGATATAAAGTACTTTCTTGTATATAGATTAGTGTCACTGGATTTGATTCTCTAGAAACCCAGCTCATTTCATTTGTTGAAGACTTCTAATATTCCTGATTTCATAGTTCACATAAACACATTTTGATCATTAATGGATGTTTCCAGCTGTTACTCCTCACTTTGAATTGTACCCCAAGAGCAAATGAAGGGCCCCAAAACTTTACTCCATCCATATTGTTGAGATTTACTTTACTTTGAGGAGGAAGCTCTTTGTTGGTCTAGGAGTGCCTTCCAATCTCAGGAGTTCATCTTCCAAGATGGTTTTGTTTTTCTTCATACATACTAGGGTCTATGTCACAGGAGGTAGGTCGTTGGAGGTCACCCTCTTGCAGTTGTGTTGTGTTGTCTGTTTTACTGTTTTTAGCATATGAAACTGGATTGATGAACCTAGAGGGACAGTAAGCAAAATAAGGTTTTCTGGGGGAGCAGGTACAATGGGGTGGGGTGGGGGGGCACAGGCTATCAAACGGAGATGATATCAAGGAGTCCATGGGAAAAAAAGAATGTTTGGAAGCTGATTTTGGTAGCAATGGTACAATTCTGCTTGACAAAATAGAACTATGGAATGATATGATATATGTATTAACTCCTAATTAATAATAATTTAAAAAATACTTTATAACCTTAAAAGCACCATGAAGCAGTTTTCTTCTGTTCTAGAGAATCCTTTAGAGTCAAAATTCAGCTCTGTATTCAAGGAATGCATTGAGGTATTGGTATATAAATATGCAAATCTGACATGATTTCCAATCTTAGTGAACAGCAAAAAAAATAGGTACATAAAAACAAAACTATGAAACACTATGTGTTTGAACTTTAAAGTCTGCAGATGGACACCAAATGACTCGAACAGCATTGAACATGAAATTTAGAGCTGGTATTATTTGAGTGGCTAAAAAACCTTATATCCTTCTTACTTAAAAATTGATTTTTAAAACTATAAAATAAGTTATTCAAACACATAGTTTAGCAAATTCAATATATAGTGATGTCACTAGAAATCACATCTAAACCAAACCAAAGCCATCACCTTCAAGTCCATCCCAACCCATAGTGATCCTCCAGTCCAGAATGGCTCCATAGAGTTTCTGAGTCTGTAAACATCTACAGAAGAAACAGAAGCAACGACATCTTTCTCCTTCAGAGCCTTGAGTGGGTTGTAACTGCAGCATTTCAGTTAGCAGCTGCTTGCTTAACCCACTCACGGCACCCAGAGTCCCTATCAATCATGCAAGTATCGAAAAGGTACAGTTTAAAAAGTGAGTCGGTACCCATTTTCTCATTAAACACACACACACACACACACACACACACACACACACACACACACACAC